AGAAGGGAGTGGGGGGGGGGGGGGGAAACGGGGAGATGGTTTGACTTCAGCGATTGAAAAGCTACGCGGCCATATTGTGCGAGATGAAACCCGGCAAGTGTAGACAAGCCGGAACATCTGCCCGAATGGCTTGTAAAACCATCGCTGGAGGAGGACGGTTTTGGGGAATGTGCGGGTTCTTTTAGTAAACGTGTGTCTGGGCGCACATGACGAGGGTACAAATTTCCAGGCCAGGCTTTGGTTTATCCATTTGGCTGCACACAGAAGGCACACGCACCATACTCCTTTCATTCCTTTGCCTGATTAGGTCAGACGTGACTCCACTCCCTCACACGTGTCGCCCAATGGGCTTACTCACCCAACATGGCTATGTGTAAGCCAATTGGGCGAAACGTGCCAGTGGGAGGAGTCAGGTTTGATGGAGGGAGAGAATGTTTTTCTGACCTAGTCTCCTAAAGCAGGGGTGCCCACAATTTTTGTGTTAAGATCTACTTTTCAAATGACGAGCTACATGAGATCTACCAACGAAAAAAACTCCCTCGCTCTCTCCCCTGGCTGTCTCTCCTCGCTCTCTCTCCTGGCTATCTCTCCTCGCTCTCTCCCCTGGCTGTCCCTCCCGGCTCACCTTGCTGTATTTTGCAACAGGCTGTGTAAACTAATATTCTTTGATGTAATACATAGCACTTCAAACACCAGAATCCACCAGAAAGGTGTCAGGAAGCTCGGCTGAGCAGACTCAGGCTGATAGGTAATCATGTGTGCACAGCTAAATAAATATACCAAAATAGAATAAAGGGGCCGCCATTCACACCCTTCCCGATCTACCAGCATCAGCTTTGAGAACTACTACTAGATCACCATCTACCTAATGGGCACCCCTGTCCTAAAGAAACATACTCAAGAGGCACTGGGGTTTCTGTGCTTATGCAGATGGCTCGGATGCAGGAAGTTTGCAAATAAGCTCACTGGTTTTGGCAAGGCAGCCCCGAAAAAAAAACAGGGTACACAGAACTGACTTAATGCTTAGAAATAAAGGGCGCCAAACCGAAGGTGGAAGAAGTCCAAAGGTGCCTTTAATTCACAATTTGATCAAGAAGCAATCAACGCGCTTTGGCACCAACACTCCCTCTATCAGACAGAAGCTTCTGCTGTTGCTAATCACAATTCCATGAGATCTTTATATTAAATCATATGTAGAGATCCATTTGGTTATTGTATCTTTGAGTCCAACCAAATCCTTATCCCGTTCAAAGCCCTGATGAATGAATAGTGTTGTCCCTGAAACACGTCGGCCATTTTGGTTTGTGAATTAAAAGGCATCGTTGGACTGTTTCACCTTTCGGTATGGCGCCGCTTATCTCTGACCTAAACTGCCATCAATAAAGCTTGTGGCCGGTCTCTAATGAAATACAGCGGAGTGCGGCTTATATGTTTGTATGCCTGGAGGGGAGAAGGCTGGAGAGCCTGTGGCTGACCTCTACACATTTTTGTCTGGAGCATTATCATTAAGACACATAGTATTTTCCATGTCTTACCTTCCTTGCATTCCAGGGCCACACGTGACTCCAGATTGTCCATCTGCAGCTGCAGGCGTTTCAGGGTGCGGTCCGCGTCCCTGGACTTGCGCTTGTAGGCGATCAGGACGATGATGATGATTAGCAAGAGGAGCCCGCCGCCTCCACCGATGCCGATGATTGCCGGAAGGGTCAGGAGGCTGTCGGAATAGATCTGCAGAGTGCCGGGTGAGAATTCGAAGCCTCCAGCTTTGATCTGAAAAGGTAATAGGAAAAAAGGTCACAGACCTAAAAGATGAGTCTGATCTCCTGCAAGCGACTATTGAAATGTTTAAGCCCTCGTTCACACCAGAACGTTTTGTAGCGCGTTCTACGCTAGACGAACGCTCTACAAAACGCTCAAACATCTAAATCCCATTGTATTCAATGGGTCTGGTTCACACCTTGGCGTATTTCAGCCCGTCCCTAACGCGCTACAAAACGGCCCACGCCTGAAAAAGGTACAGGTACTACTTTGGGCCATTTTTGTTGCGCGTTTCCATTGGGATACAGCCAAGTAGCCCTCGGAAATGCCCGCTTGTTGCGCGATTTTGTTTACCGCGCATCGCGGTAAAAAAAAACGCGGGACAGACGCGCATATGCAATACGCCTAGGTGTGAACCAGGGCTTAAGGTCAAGTCCATTCAAAACCGATATGTTAGCTTGAGTAGATGCCAAAACTTTAACCTGGCCTTTTGTGACTCCATAATGAGAATTCTGCACCTGAGTTCCTAACTCCCCCCACCTGCTACCTAAGCTCTTCCTATTGGATGCATCGTCCAGAGCAGTGTATGGAGATTACAGGTGGCACTTGGCAAAGGCTTTAGATCTGGTGGGGAAATGCTGCAGGTCCCAAGTCAGTTTTGGGTTCGCGCGCACCAAAAATATCAGTTTATATGCAGATGATTACATACTTGGCAATGGATGCGACGTGTTGCTGTGTAGAGGACAGTATACGTACCGTGACTTTGTGCTGCCCCGTAAGGTTTGGCGATTCGCACAGAAGCTGCGTCTCAGAGACAGTTAGCGCACATGGGGTGTCGCCGATCAGCACTGTATAGTTGAGGCGGAAGTTCCCGGGTACGGCTGGTAATATATTACGACCCTGAGGAAGAACAAAAAAAAGCAAAAATGTAGTTTTAGACACTCTGCGGCTACAGGAAATCGAAGGAGAGGGGAACCCCGGTAATTGCACAGTGACCCTCACTCACTTTGATGATCAGAGGAGAGCTGGGCTTCAGTTCCAGGTTCCCGGATGGACTGAGGGGCTCGAACACGGGGTCGGCATAGTAGGTGAAGCTGGTCATGTTCACGATGAGCAGCGCCTGGACGTTGTCCATGATGAAGCCGATCTCGTCTGGCTTTTCTCCGAATTCCGGCGGAGTTCTCAGGGAGTTGTCGATGGAAGGGGCCAGACACACCATGGTGGTGTCGTTATAAACCGTACAGTTCTAGACGGGGAAAAAGACAAGGTGGTTGTAAACCTAAAAGGGCCTTTCTACAAATCTAAGTTGGGAAATCCCAAATCAAATTATAGAGCAGTGTATACAAATAAATGCTTCTAAATACCTTTATTCCATGCTTTTGTCCCAGGTCACGTGACCGCATGGCTTCTTCTCTGATCCGAACGGCCAGGACAATAGTGGGACTGGCCTGCCCTGCTGTGATGGGAGGAGTCCGCTGTCAATCAAGATCTCTTACTGGCCCCGTCAGGCTCCCAGCTGCCTACGTCACCAGCAGCACCACCTGACTGGGCGGGTATGTTTGATTGACAGCGCTTCCTCCTGCCACTAATTCCCAGCAGGGCAGACTGGTCCCGCCCACCGCCCAGGCTGTTCCAATCATGAAAGAGCAAGGGAGAGGAAGCCATAGACATGGCTTTTATGAAGCATGCGCACAAGCAGTGGCAACGCTACAGGGGGGTAGATGAGCCTCCGGATCGTTGCTACCGCTAAGAAGCAAGAGTAGATCACTGGTCATGATCGCCGGTTATTTTCATTGAAATACAATGTAATAAAAAAAAGAAAAGGCACAAAATGTTCTACAAATATACTGTGGACAGTATAATGAGGGGGCTACCGATACTCTAATATCCCATCACGCCTCTATCGGACCTCCTAACACACTTCTATCGGTCTCTGCTTAACACTCACGTTTTCACGCTCCACGTCGCTGTACTTGGCGCGGATCTTCGGCTCCCTAATAGTTGCCAGGTTCAGTCCGGTTACAGTCAGCGGAGTCCCACCACTGAAAAGGAAAAACACAGCTTAAAGCTAAACTCCAGACAGAATGTGTGCAGCTCTGTAATCATAAAGCGGAACCTTTCCCCATATCTGTAAAATAACAACAAACGCACCTCTAGAAATGTTTAGTGATGGCAATCTACAGACACATACTTCATGATCATTGCCGGCTTTGTATTCCTTAGTTCTCTTTTCTTCCCCAGTCTTCTGACAGTGGCCATGCTTACTAAGGGCAGATTATTAGCTCTCCTTTTACTTCCTGGATTACTGGCACATGTGACTAGACATGTGACCATGCACATCATCTCAGGGGAGGAAAATGCCTTTCCCTGAGATCTCGTGAGATTACAGATGAGATTTCCCAGCAATGCTCTGCTTTTGACAAGACAATCCCAGTGCGCATTGCTGCGCCAAACTGAAGTCATTTTGCCCTTTCAAAGCACGAAGTGAATGCTCTGCAAGTGTAAGTATTTCGCAATCACCTGACATGTCTCTGTTATTATTAATCATCACACATAGAGGGGGATGCATTGGTAGAATTTGATTTTTGAATGTAAAGGTCCGCTTTAATACATAAACTGTACAGCAGAGCTCAGATGGAGGGAGGGAGAGGCAGCTCAATGAGCCAATCAGCTGTACTGCAGTGTGCCACTAAGGAACGTGCTGATAGGAGGATGTGACAGATGAGCTCATCAGTCTATTGCTTCTCCTTTACTGTCCAATCACAGGCCGGAGAAGGGACAAGACTTATTGAACTACAGCAAAGTAAAATGAGGTCTCAGAGCTGTGCCGAGTGCCAGAGCTGTGTAAATCTCAGGACTGGAGAGGATTACATATCCTTTGGTAGATAAAACGCCTCCCACACATGTATTCATCCATTTGCCGTGAAGTTCCAATTCAATGTTGACTCATCGGGAGAGATCGGAGACCTCCGCGGTCATTGTGATAAGCTGTGTATATTACCTGGTGATGCTCCACTCAGGTTCGATCTTCTGCACCGTGGGGTCCTCCGTGTAATTGTACTTCACCTCGGGGTTGCGCAGCACCGCGCGATTGATGTGGATCTCAATTTCTGCACTGGATGGAATTTGGCCCTGCGGGGTTTTGCAGCGAATCTCTTTGGCCGTTCTCCTAAGAAAGGAAAAAAAACCCGGAATAAACATTAAAATAAAAACATTACGTCTTTATAGAACATGTTTTTGGCTCCGTGACTTTCTCCCTCCCATATAACCATAGAGCATGCAGGAGCCAATCAGAATGGATTCTGCTTCCATCAAGGCTGTTCAAATTACTATCTGCATGGAGTTTGCATGTTCTCCCTGTGCTTGTGTGGGTTTCTACTGGGTCCTCCGATTTCCTCCTACACTTCACATGCGGGTAGGTTAACAGGGCATGGCCTTTGCAGAAGAGTTGAAATCCTCTTTATTCTATGCGGCCATATCGCACAGGGACAGCGGGGGGATTGCTATAGGCACGAGTCTCCTATATGTGTTTCGACTATGCAAACTAGAAGCAGTTTAAGTCTCCTCCAGAGAGGAAATGAGGCGGAGCTCTATCTGACTTGCTGCAGCTTCTAATGCACATCGTGAGAAGCTCGCAGTGTGCAGTGACATCAGAGGAAGTCATTTCAGTCCAGGAGAGGAGCCGGTACAGCTGTGCAAGACTGAACGGAAGGCTGGGGTTGGACTTTAAAAAGAACCTGAACAAAAGGGTCAAGTCCTCAAGAAACAAGGCAGGGACCCCTTTAAATGGCATTCGTTTCACAGGCAGCGCACACGGGCACCGGAAGCGCATTCTGCGCCGTGTCAGACGCGGCTTTCTACCAGGCGGCTGGGAAACATTTGGGAAAAATAGCCGAGGTATAAAAAGCCTGTTCAGTCTGTATCAGATGCTCACCCGGCAAACAGCAGCTATTAGCGCTGATAACCACCAATTACCACAGGAAAATATTTAAAGACCTGCTCCATTATCATTGGTAATCTAGAAATTATGCACCCGAAATCTTATGGAAGGCAGAGGAAGAAGCGAGAGCGGCAGAAGCAGCCTGCGGGCACACGGCAAAACACTGAAACCCACGGCTGCCAGACAAAACCGTCTGCCGGCGGAACGTCTCCCCGATGGGGCTCGGCGGCTTCTGCTCCCCGGCAAAGGCTTCAGGAGTTTGCTGTATAGGGACAAGTGTGTTTTATCTCCTGAGTGTAAGCTCTTGGGACGAGACTAGAAAGGCCATGCTGCTTTGATGCAAAACTGCTCCGTCTTTGCTTTTGGGTTCACTTGTACTTTGTGTTCAGCTGTATTATCAAACCTGACCAGCCTACCTAAGTAGCTACAAAGCGCCAACTTATTCCGCAGTGCTGTACATGAATGACGAGTCAGTCACATCAGTATCTGAACCAGAGGAGCTTACACTCTAATGTCCCACCACAGTCACACATCATTGTTATACATATATATAGCTTTTACATTCTGCAGTGCTGTACACAGAACACAGAGACAGTCACATCAGTCTCTGCACCAGAGGAGCTTACACTCTTATGTCCCCTCCACACACAGTACAACTAATGTGCATAGAATCCTCAGGACAAATAACCTTCTAGTATATTTCTGGGTTATGGAAGAAAACTGGAACACCTTAAATATACCTACAAAGAAATAGAAAGAACATACAAACCCCATGCAGATGCTGGTCTTGCTAGGAACTCAACTCCAGCAAATTGATAACCACTTAGCCACCAAGTAAAGCACCAAATAAACAATATTTACCCTCTTCAGCCATTATGGAGGCCAAACACACGAGGTTATTGTCTAGCCATTTTGAGTATAAAGGAAACAGACTACAGCAACCTATCACCATCCCTGCTGTGCAACAGGTTGTCTTGTTCCTTTTTTGTGTGTTTTGAGATAGATAGCTGGCCGAAGTTGCTGGAAAACTAGCCTGTGAATGGCCAACATTGGATCTAGAAGTCCCACACTGGCCTGTAAATGTCCAACATTGGATCTAGAAGTCCCACACTGGCCTGTGAATGTCCAACATTGGATCTAGAAGTCCCACACTGGCCTGTGAATGTCCAACATTGGATCTAAAAGTCCCAAACAGGCTTGTGAATGGCTAACTGTGGATCTAGAAGTCCCACACTGGCCTGCGAATGGCCAACATTGGATCTTGAACTCCTGACATGCACCACCAGCCAGCAGAATGAACTGTTGCAATAACACAGGTTGACCAGTCCCACGTGGCCTTACCATGAAAAGATGCAGGGTCGTCCTCCAATGTCCACAGACACATCACTGCCAGCGTTTAGGTAGATTCCCTCAATGGTAATCCATGTACCTCCAGACAGTGGGCCACGAGCAGGGGTCACACCTTTAAAATGAGGGGTCTGCCAAAAGAATATGAAATATACAAGTTACAGCTGCTCAGTGAAACACGGGGCGTTTTTAGCTGTTAGATACCTGGATGGTAACCTACCACAAAGGTGAACGATTTTGGAGCAGTGGTCATGTAATCCTTGGAGCAATCTCTGACACAGACTTCCACAGTGGCTTCCCGGGCCTGCATGCTCCTGGCCTCACCAATCTCGCACACAATCCTGGAAGAAGACAGTGATCATTTTATTTCAGTGTTTATATAAATGCAGCACCCCTGTGCAAACATATCAACTGCCTCCAAAGTCTTCTCCTCATCAGCGCATATGAAGCCCAGCAAGTCACAGCTCGGCACCATCTTGTTTTCAATGCCAGTGGCACCCAACAGACAGTGAGCCGTCAATACCCTGACATGCCGGTAGAATCCCAAGCACCCTCTGATGACACACTGAGCAATAAATTCATGGAGTTCCAATACATGTAATTGCTCAGAGAAGCCGGGGCTACCAGATTATGGCTATCAGATCCTTCACTGGGACCATATTTGAGCCCAGATGTTTCTTCCGTAACTTTTTATTGAAGATTTTAGATGCAGTCAAGCATTAAAAGGCCTAGTAAACAAAAACGTTTATTGGGTACTTCAAATGTCGGGTTACTATACCAAGCAACAAAGTGAATAAATGATCATTAAAGTATGTTGGTCCTTGTACCGGTGTCACATGGTGTCTCGTAGTGCATTAGGACAGACCTGTACCATAGCAGAGTACATGGTGTGTTGGTATGGTGTGTCAGGGTACATGGTGTGTTCCCCCCTCATGTAGGTGAATGGGGTGATTGTAGGTTAGAATGTAGTGTGGATTTCAGATAGGGGCATTGGCCGTAGTCAGAGGAGGAGGAAGAAGTAGTATGTGATCTAGGTAGGGAGAAGGTGGGTGAGTGCTTAGCATTGGAAGGATAGGAGATCATAAAAGAGGCTAGGTTAGGGATGGAGACCACAGGCAGGAGGTAGGCAGTGAAGGAAAGATAGCGATAGAGTATATATGTATGAATTAAAAGGGGGCGAAGGAAAACAAAAGGGAGGGAAGGTAAGGGGGAGTATTGGATTGTAGGGATAGGAATGTACAGAAGATAGAGGAACATATTGGCCAGAGGTCACGGGGTGTTGCCTCACTGTGAAGCCCAAGGCAGATTGATCTCAGGGCAGGTTCACACCAATTCCACACCAGACAAAATGAGACATGAAGTATTTTTCTGGTCTGGAACCCTGCTTGCCAAAAAACACATTCCCTCCCCCCCGAGGTGATACTTACTGCTCCGCACTGATGTAGTCACTTTCTAAGGGGACACACATGACTTGCCCGACCCTCACACCGACCCGGATGTCTTCAAACCTCAGGCCGAGGTTCTCCCCGATGATGGTGAGTCGGGTCCCTCCTTGCCTGGGGCCGGTTTCAGGAAAGAGCTGAAAGAAAACCACAATATGCATGAACAGCTGTACGGTGTCTATTATCTACTAACAGATTATGTGGATTGGAGCGACATCACCATATTTATTCCCAGATCATTTTTTGTACAAGTCATTCTGAATTGAGAAAGCTGGTTGGATGACCAGTGAAACGTCTTCAAGAAAAGTCCAGCAAGCCCAGTTGCCTTGACTTATTTATTACAGATATTCCGGTCATTTTGAACAGCTGGAAGTCTTTGCAAACTTCAGAAAAATAGACTTTTGCTGCATCAGTTTAGAGACAATGCCCAGAGCAGCTTTATAAAAAGGATCATTTTTTTAAAACATTTTCCATGAAATGCCAACAAAACAGCCATTTGGACCTTAAGAAGTCAGAATGTGGGGAACCCGCCGGAGGAATCATTTCCGATTAGTAAATGCCAATAACGACAATAAATATATAATTATATATAAAAAAAAAGTGCCGGTTTTGCTTCCTACGCACACTCGCTGATCAAAGTTTTGGCCCAGACTCGGCAGCTATTCCCTTGTTGGCATGTTCACATCACACGTTACAGCGACGGTGAAATATTCATGGACCTGGTCCGGTTGGGCCTTCTAAAGCGAAGGCGTTTTTCGCTCTGGTTCCCCCGGCCTAAACGACTGCGTTTTCGCTTTGCTGTTCAAACTCGACAGGAATGTGTGCGGATTTACAAAGAGCCCCCCTGCCTGCTGACATTACCGTACAAAACACAGCAGCCTGCGGTAAGAAAGCGCACACAGCGGGAGCATTACGACTTCAGAACTGCCTGCGCCGCTGTACAAAGGGCGGCTGCAAGCACAACCAGCCGCTACGCACTGCTGCTGCCTGAGCCGGCAAGGCAATTTCTGTATATAGAAGAATACATATACACTGAGTGGCCAGATTATTATGACCACCTGACGTTTGTAGGCTAATTAGCTATAATTTGGCGCTGAAGTTGCTAGAGGGCCAGACCATTATAAATAGGGGAGCGGGTTGGTTACCACGACAGTAGAAGTGATTTGTTTCTGAAGATACGGGGAAACAACGCGATGTAACAGCCTTTGAACGTGGGATGATTGTTGGCGCTCGGGGCCATGGAGCGAGTATCAGCAAAACAGCAGAATTCGTTACATGTTCAAGAGCAGCTGTTGTTAAAGTGTTTAAAGACCGGACTGTCAGCGGAAAATCTGGGTCTGAACGTGAGAATTGTGGCCGCCAGCGACTAGTCAATGTTAGGGCGGAACGGGGGAGGGGCAAGACTGGTACAAGACAACAGAAGGGCAACAGTGCAGTGTCAGATTCCTCGCATCACCTTTCATCATCTTGTGGAGTCACGAGGCGGCCCAACGAAGTACTGATGGGGTGGTCATAATAATCTGGCCACTCAGTGTATGTGTGCATTCATTTACAAATATTAGGAAGACCAAAACTTTTCCTTTCCCAAATGAAGATGTTTAGTTGGAAATATGGGCAAAATAAGAAACCTCCCCCCCACTATTCATTGATCCTGATCATGTTTAATCTTTATACAGCAAACAATTATTTCCTGGTGACTGAGCCATCCCAGAATCCATAAGGACTAAAATAAAGCCGTATAACTTATTTGATCTTCGGTCCTGTTGGCTCCCTCTGGGCTGCAAGACCGGTCCCCGCAGCTTCTTCTCCCCTGGGCTCTGGCAGGTCTAAGGACCGCCGACATCATCACGTTCTATGCAGGTCTATTGACCATGGACATCCCATAACTGTAGCGGAGGCGGAGAGAGGAGAGTGCTGACCACTGCGCAACCGAGGATCAGATAAGAATAATATTTGCTTTATTCAAGCTCCTTAGACAAAAGGAGCACTTAACCCTTGCAGTGCAAGGGAAGCCCCACTGCAGTGGTAACTGATTTTTCTGGAGGGTACGTATTTGATTTTCACAGATTCCAGACTTTAAAAGGAGAACTACGAGGGGAGTGATTTTCACTTATCCTCATAGTTCCGAGACAACATGTGACAATGAAGCTGTCACACGTCGGCTCAATAGATCGGGAAGTGAGCGAACACATACCGTCGCTCGCTAACTTCTCGATCATCTCCCTGCAGAGAGCGGTGACGGTCAGTCACGGCTCCCCGCAGGGATTCCCCCCCCCCCTCCCCTCTCTGATCCTCCCGCGCTGACTGGAGGAACGGACGGGGGCGGGTACAGCTGGGTCTGCCTCTAGATAGGCAGAGCCCGTTGTCAATCAGCCAGCTGGGTGGATCCCGACAGCATTGTTGGTATCCGTCGCGGCTGCGGCGGTCTCAGTATATCACAAGCTGTAGCTCGCGATATACTGAGCTTTGGATCACGGGGGACGCTAGTTTATGTCCTTCCGTGACCCTTAAGAGAACTATGGGGGGAAACACTGACCTCGTAGTTCTCATAGTTCTCTTTTAAGTATGAGAAAATGAAAGCCGAACTCTAGCAAACACCTTTTAAAGCATTTGCAGTGGTCTAAAAGCCGACTGTTGTAAGCACCCCCGGCAGTGTTCTATGGTTCGTTCCAGTCTCTTCAACTGTGCCCTTCACTGGACAGCTTGGCCTGGGAGAGAGAAATCCACAGATCTCCTGGCAGGAACCACAGGCATTGAATGCTACAAGGGGCACCGAGAAAAAGAAAAGCTGCTGTGCAGATGCAAATGATAGACTGCATCGTATATGTAATTGCTGATTTTGCCCGTAGTTCTCCTTTCAACTTTTAAGAGGCCACAACGCAAACATAACGCGACTACAAAGTTTCCACTTCAGTGGGGCACTTAACGCGAGTCCAGAAAAGGGCCCCGAGTCCTCGCGCCTCCCTTGTACCTCGCCCAAAGCGACCGTCTCACTCCATGGCCGCGTGATGAGATCCATTTAGCAAGATTATTTTCAATAAGCTGGACAGGTGTGCGCTGACAAAAGCGGCATTATGACTGATGAGCGAATGGGAAGGCGGCTCGCCAACGCCAATAACAAGCTAATTACGGGAAATCTCACAGCGGAGCTTGCTTTGCCTCCGGAGCGGGCCGTCGCTCCACACACACCTGCGGGCACTAAATGGGATCAATGAGCCTGGGTGCCCGTCTGCACAATCTCATTCTGGGGAATTATGGGTCTCGTTACTGATTTGCCGCTGGGAGACAGGAAGAGGAAGAGGAATTTATAAGGGGACAGCTTTCATTAAGTTTACAGAATCTTTTTTTTCTTGAAAACTTTCTCGGAGAGACCTGCCGACTTCGCACAGAATCTACTTGTGTCACCGTGATGACAATTCGCGCAGGACCCGCTAAATGTATTTAGATGCATGTTTGCTGGCTGCAGGAAATGTGGAGGCCATTGCTGGCAGCCTTCTGAAAATGCTAGTTGTCTGGCTACAATACTCTGGAGGCACGGACCCACAGCAAGCATGGAGATTAAAGGAGAACTCTGCTTTTCACTCACCTCATAGTTCTAGCCGACCTGTGACAAGGAGACTGTCATAGGTCGGCTCAGTAGATCGGGAGGTGAGCGAACACATCCCGGCGTTCGATCACCTCTCGATCCTCTCACGGCTCTCTGGCGTGACAGGGGAGGGGCTGGATTCCCCCCTCCCCGCTCCGATCCTCCAGCACTGACTGGTGGAACGGACGGGGGAGGGGGCAGGTACAGCGGGCTCTGCCTCTAGATAGGCAGAGCCAGCTGTCAGTCACGCAGCTGGGCGGATCCCGGCATAATTGTCGGGATCCGCTTCAGCAGTGTCGTCTCAGTATACCGGGAGCTGCAGCTCGCGGTATACTGAGCCTGGGGTGACGGGAGGACGCAAATTTGTGTCCTCCCGTTCCCTTTAGGAGAAATATGGGGAAAAGCCCTGACCTCATAGTTCTCCTTTAAGCAGTTGTGGATCCTCGGTGTGCCAATGTAAGTATGCACGCCCAAAAATACTTCAAAGTACGCAGGGCATGGGCAGCATGTCGTGTACTTCTGCTCTGTGCCACTGAATTACCTCTGCCCCTTACTTAAAGCTGAACTCCGGGATAAGCAAATATTGTCCTCATACAAGAGTCATGTGTATTCTTCCTTGAATCTTGGTGAGCTTTGTTTATTTGTTCCAGATTTGTGCAGTATTCCAATGTGAGACTTGGAACTTCCTGTAATAAAGACCGGTCACTGCTGCTGCTCTCTCCTTGTGCAGGGTGACTGGTCTTGTCTCCGCCCCCTCCTGTAATTAAGACCGGTCACTGCTGCTGCTCTCTCCTTGTGCAGGGTGACTGGTCTTGTCTCCGCCCCCTCCTGTAATAAAGACCGGTCACTGCTGCTGCTCTCTCCTTGTGCAGGGTGACTGGTCTGGTCTCCGCCCCCTCCTGTAATAAAGACCGCTCACTGCTGCTCCCTCTCCTTGTGCAGGGTGACTGGTCTTGTATACCCTTGGTGCTCTCACCCTTCATGCATTCTTTAGATTACTCCAGGGACCCTTAAGGGTTGGCTGAAAGAGAGCTGCCTGCAAAATCTGGATTGAGCATCCTATCCCCCTCCTGTCTCTGGTCCAAAGCTCTATTGCTGACCTGTCTGGTAGGGTTATGTAAATCGTAAGGGTGGCTGGACAGAATTACAAACAATTTGGCAGACAGGACAGATCACAAATATGTACTTGGATGATGTTCTGTATGTAAACCTAGCACCAATGCAGTTTGGCCTCTTCACATGGGCTCTGATTGATGTATGCGGCACGAGTGCGATCAAAATGCTATAAACCTGGCAAGCCGCTTCGGATGCAAGTTCCTGCCATAGAAGAGAATGGAGCAATCACCCGGCTTCTGCTTCTTATGGCACTTAAGAGGGTTGGCCCCAGTTTGTGTGGGGTGTGATGAGCAGTACCCAGCGTCTACCTCCTCCTATCACCCGAGCCTGTAGCACAGACATGTCTTCATACACAGCTCTCCTCTAATTGGTTTCACAGGGGAACCTTTAAATAAAACAACAAACACCTCATCTAAAAAATAAAAAACCGCCGCCCTGCGCTGTCAGATCCGCACAAGCGGAGAGGTGAGAGGAGAGGATCACAGGGAGGAAGATGGCATTGATCTTCGCCGCGTTTGGCATAAGCCGCAGACGTTTGCTGGCCGTCTCATCTCCGTCTGATCCATTCCCTCCAATATTACTGACGGTGGGAGGCTGCCCGGGTCAGCCATTCCCAAAGGTGGCCATTACTGGGGTGAGATCACAAAGCACGGAGTTTATCAAGGCGTGCGGGCGCACTGAGGTGGGAACTTAAGAGTCCGAGCGCACGTACATACATAGGAATATAAAGGAGATCTATAATTGCCTTTCATATCCTTTCAAATGATAAATATTTTTCAGTTGTCTTCATCTTTCGGCTTCAGCTGAAATCAGAGTTATGGTGGGATTGCCTGCTCTGTAAGCTGTGGGAAGGGGAGGAGCTTAGGAGGGAAAGGGCTCTGCGTGGGCATCACCGGTGTGCTGGGTACAATGGGGTATAAGCCCTGCACGAGGATAAATGCTTCCACAAGCAATCAATATAATACAATATAGCCCGGTCCCAGACACACCCCAATAAGGATGAAACATTTAAATATCAATTGCAACCTTTTTAGGGCAGAGCAAAGCTAAAACGTTATAAAAGACACACTGGAATGTAGCTCTGTATTCATAACTGCATCCTTACATATGTGTATTTCAGTGCAAGCCTTACATGTGTGTATTTCAGTGCAAGCCTTACATGTGTGTATTTCAGTGCAAGCCTTACATGTGTGTATTTCAGTGCAAGCCTTACATATGTGTATTTCAGTGCAAGCCTTACATATGTGTATTTCAGTGCAAGCCTTACATGTGTGTATTTCAGTGCAAGCCTTACATGTGTGTATTGTATGCAAGCCTTACATGTGTGTATTTCAGTGCAAGCCTCACATGTGTGTATTTCAGTGCAAGCCTTACATGTGTGTATGACTCGCCTCCCTGCTTCCTGATTGGCTGGGAAGCCGGCTCCATGCTGATTGGCTGTGAAAGCCAATTCATTCCTGACCAATTAGCATGGAGCCGGCCGAACAGCTGTCTCCATGCTGATTGCCTGGAAAGCTGTCTTCCCAGCCAATCAGCATGGAGCTGGCTTCTCAGCCAATCAGGCGGGTCATTACTCGCCGCCCGGCTTCCTCATTGCCCGGGAAGCCGTCTCCATGCCAGCGGAAGCACCGGTAAGTACCGACAGCAAAATATTGGTACTAGCACTCGATACCGAAAAGACAGCATCGGTGCATCCCTAGTTCCTTCCCCCACCTGGTATTTTCTATGTAAATAAAAAACCCTATATATACACCTTTTTCTGGAATTCCACTTTTAAATCCTGCCGGATACAGGTTTTCATGCTATCACTTACTGTAACTCAGCTGCCCCCCAATATTTATGTTGGTACTGCAGGCTAAAGCGAAGCAGCATCACTACTCGGCCTATACCCGAGAGCTGAGCAGCTGAGACTGACCCTCGGGCCTAGAGCGAACAGGGTGGAAAAATGCACCATCCCTCAATGCTATACATGAAAGTAGACATGTCAATTCAAAGTACAAGTATGGGGCGCACTACCCCCAAGCCCCGAAATCGGGTCATCCTCATGGACGAGGCGCTGGACGCCCACAGGGGCTCACCCCATCCCCCACAGACTGCACAAATTCAAAATGCAACTACATCAAATCAAAGCTACAATACCTTCCGGTATCACATATCCCTTACCTTGGTGATCTTGGGGTCGGTGCAGCGGCTCTGCGGCGTGCTGGCGTGCATCCACGGGCTCTCATACATGGGGCAGTTCTGGCGCAGGGTGCACTTCTTCTCGCTGACGCACCAGCCGCACTCGAAGTGTGGATCGGATTTCAGACACAGTCCGCAGCTCTCCCGCAGGGCTGAACACTTGTACAGGTGGGCTGCGCAAACAAACCAGACAGTCAATACTCGCCCGTGTGGCGCACAAGAATTAATGACGTGCCGGTGCTAATTAGCAATGCATTACGAACACCGAGCCGCGGCATGCAAGATCAAATCCAATAGCTCAAAACGCTGGAAGGAAGAACGGCAAAAACTTGGCTTGGTTAGCATGCACACCGGGCCTCCTGAATCAAAGTGTCTGAAAGAGGACCTGTCTGTGTTACTCACTGGGACCAATCAAATTCCGCTGTCAGGGCGGGTAATAAATGGAAAAAATACAGCGGTTGCTATGGGCAACAGAGACTAATTTTTGACACTCAAATGACTCTCACCTTGTATGTTCTGAGGATTGTCAATGACAAAATGGCCGTTCCAGACCACGGACAGATTGACAGGTAGGTCGCTGATGTCATTCCCCTCGTAGTTATACTGCAAGACAAGAGCAACCAGAAAGTCATAAGCAAGAGATAAAAAACATCCTAAAAGTCATAAAAACAGGATAAAAATAACATTTAGCTGAGAATTACTTTGCCACATTTTTGTACACGGCATTTCCATGATGATTCTTCATAAGACACGCGTGTTCCGGTATGTGGCAGTATGTGCTGAAAGAAATGAGCAGCCATACCATGTAGACCTTCATCAACCGGGATTCCTCCATTACTAGGGGTAACGGCGCAGATTCTGCCTCTCAGATAAGTTACCAATGACGCCAATTATCTTTTTAGATATCTATAAAGGGGGCAATTCTACCCACTGACCACCATTATAAGGGGCATTCTCCCACTGACCACCAATGTAAGGGGCAATTCTACCCACTGACCACCAATGTAAGGGACATTCTTCCCACTGACCACCAATGTAAGGAGCATTCTTCCCACTGACCACCAATGTAAGGAGCATTCTTCCCACTGACCACCAATGTAAGGAGCATTCTATTATAAGGGGCATTCTTCCCACTGACCACCATTATAAGGGGCATTCTTCCCACTGACCACCATTATAAGGGGCATTCTTCCCACTGACCACCATTATAAGGGGCATTCTTCCCACTGACCACCATTATAAGGGGCAATCTTCCCACTGACCACCAATGTAAGGAGCATTCTTCCCACTGACCACCAATGTAATGAGGACTTTCTCTATTAAACACCAGTGTAAGGGAAATTCTTCCCACTGACCCCCAATGTAAGGAGCATTCTTCCCACTGGCCACCAATGTAAGGAGCATTTTTCCCACTGACCTCCAATGTAAGGAGCATTCTTCCCACTGACCCCCAATGTAAGGGGCATTTTTCCCAACCCATTGCTCCCCAAATAAGCTGGGGGAATGGGGGGGTCACTGTCCTTTGCCTATACCTTGAATGTCTAAAAAACTGACATAGGTTGCTATTACCAAAACAAAACGCTTTGTTTTGGTAATAGCTGAAGAAAAACCTTAAGGTGTATGCAGAGCGTGTGCATGTAAATGAGCTGATATGACTCCGCCCACATACATACATGTATTACAAACCTGGAAACAATTACCAAGCACTGATGAGATGATCTCCATTCAGCGGATCTCTGTGACATGTTTCTCTAACAAGCGACAGGTCCTCTTTTATCTCATCCCATCCTGGAACACACACACACACATGATGAATGCGGACACTCCAGGTGGGAGTTAAAAGCGGCGCAGACAAATATAAATTGCCGGCTTTATACCGTATGACATCACTTCAGATGCAGCGAGATACCAACGACCTCTGACCCCCCCGCAGCACTCATTTATGGCGAGCCCCTTGAAAAGGCCTCCGATTATTAGTCCTGTTATACTGGATGAGTCAACGTGGAGCACAGAGCATTGTGGGGGCCACGCTGAGACTACAACGCCCCCGCCCCCGCCCCCCACCCCCCCCAACCAATGTGTCACAGCGCAGAGATAAACGGCCTGTTGCATTTACAGCATTGAGATGGCTTCAAATGCTGACTGACGGCTACAAATGGAAATTAAACATCCAAAAGGAGAGGAAGATGGAAGATAAAAGGGTGAGAGGGGAAGTAATGACTTTCTCGAGGCGCCCGGGGCGGGGATCACACCGGGACCATTTTATGGAAAACCGAGAGATGACATAACCCAGTAATGACTTCACAAAAAATGGCGTCCTGAACCGGGAGCAAAAACATTTGCGCGATGTTCCAGCACGGGGACACTCCTCCTATTGGGTGCTATGTAAAGCTTTTCTTGCTCTTCTCCTGCATGAGATGGGGCAAACATGCGCAGAGGAAGGGTGGAAGATACATAGTCCGTGAGGGTGTTTGATACCGCAGAGAAAGATTTCTTGCTGCAAAGGAAAAACATAAACGTGTTACAATGTACCTAATAAATATATGTGGTTTTTGGATTCAGAACAGAATGGTGAAACACTATTTCTTGCCGTCTGTGACTGTGTAGGGGAGATTTCCCTCCACTTCCTGTCCTGGAGAAACAACAGGAAGTGAGAGAAAGCCTCTTTTAGTTGTCACCAGAACATGCATGTCCCCCTGACCTCCTGCTCAGGTTCTGTGGTTCACTATGAAGTGAAGCGGGGATCAGGATGACGGGTGCAAGGCTTTCGACTTCAAAAGCAAACTGGCAACAGAAGAAAGCAACAGCCAATAAGCCTTCAAGTCCAACTCAAGGAGAAGAAATCTTCCAGATCTGTGCAAAACTTGGAGCTTCCTGTAATAAAGACCGGTCACTGCTACTCTCTCCTTTTGCAGGGTGACTGGTCTGGTCTCCTCCCCCTCCTGTAATAAAGACTGGTCACTGATGTTCTCGCTCCTTGTGCAGGGTGACTGGTCCCGTCTCCGCCCCCTCCTGTAATAAGGACCAATCATTGCTGCTCTCTCCTTGTGCAGGGTGACTGGTCTCGTCTCCGCCCCCTCCTGTAATAAAGACCGGTCACTGCTGCTTTATCTCCTTGTGCAGGGTGACTGGTCTAGTCTCCGCCCCCTCCTGTAATAAAGACCAATCATTGCTGATCTCTCTCCTTGTGCAGGGTGACTGGTCTTGTCTCCACCCCCTAGTGTAATAAAGACCAATCACTGCCAGTCTCTTTCCTTGTGCAGGGTGACTTCTCTAGTCTCCGCCCCCTCCTGTAGTTTTCTGTAGGCAGCCTGTAGTGGGTGGAGACAGCTGGGCCCCTCCCACGGCTCTGCTCAGGCTATGTACAGCACAGTACAAGGTAATATCGGTGTTTGTAAAGGCATACAAGTGAATTTATAGGCTCTGTGGATATTGAGGAATATATTTAGATGAAGCTTTGTGTGCCTGGAGTTCAGTTTTCACTCTTTGGCCAGACAGGACGAGCCATCACAACAGCTGATTGGCTGCTCTGGGTGGCTCAGCGGGTTGCATTGGGAAATGAAGACGGATCAATAAGACTGTGTTCTGCAGGACAGGCTGTACTCATCTACAAGAGATCTTCGGAAGGCCGGAGGTGGCCGGGCTACTTAACGCTCATTTCGGCATCTCCCTCGTCCAACCCAAAAGCATAAAGCTGCAATATACTGACACCAACAAAGAGCTTTAGTAAGCTTATTCCGCCAGTTGGTTTACAAACAACACCACTCCGACCAGAAGTCTGATTTCAAATTTTAGCTGGTGTGCAGAGGTGCATTTCAGGTCATCGCGCTGGCAGGAGTGAAAAACGACTTCCTGATTTCGGGGGAACTGAAGGCGGTTTTTATGCCCGGAGTAACTCCCGGCCCGGAGCACGGTGGCGGCTCAGGGGATACAGCTTCATTCTGCTTTATTATTTATTACCGGAATGATTTACGACGACGGTTTATTGGTAAAATTTAAGCGCGCGGCTTTGGCGGCCACAATGCCAAAAGAAACCTTTTCTCATTTCGTGCGGTTCTTACGCCGCCGCTTATTTTTGATGCCGTCCTTTAACCCGTCGCCGCCTGAGCAGTCAGTCCCGCATTGGGAGCCGGCACCCCCTCCCCATATTAAAAGGCGACAAGCCGTAATTCGGAGATAATGATGCTGCGAATGACTTGGAAAGAGACGGCGCGGGCCGGGAGGTCAAAGCAAATCCTGCAGTTGTGGCTTCCTGCTGTATTGTCTGTGGCAGCAAATGAGATTAGGATCCCCCCCCTCCTCCCGACCAGAAGCAGGGGATTGCCCCGGCGGCTGACACGGCAATGCGAGCGGATTAACGCAGAGATGCGAGCGGTGTGCAGAGCACCTGAACCCGTGAGCAGGCTGGAGAGAGAAGCGTCTGGATAAAAGCAGGATACTGAGATGCATGAAAATGACACCCTCGTGTGCTCCCGCTATTACCGCTGCCAATTGTTACACCCTGAATTGCGGCCAGTTATGTCAAAATGCCACTTTTGCACCCCCCAAAAATGACACAGTGCTTTCTATGCGCTCATATATGTCCGATACAGATCTCTTAATGACCGCAATATGGCGTTTCAAGCCCAAACGTTAAAAGTCTCTTGCGGGCGGGGCATTAATTAACGCTGCAGCAGAGAACTTGGCATGCGTAATTGTGTGCGGCGAGGCAGTTTACATGGGTGGGGGTGACGCGGTGCCAATCATTTAAGGTGTCATTGCTCACCTTCCTGTGCTGCAGGTCAACCGGATACATTTTCCTTAAAGAATAAAATATTCATGAAGTCTAGCAGGGATGATGGGAGACCCTCATAATGGGCACAGCAGGTGTGGACTCCCAGGAACTGGAGCCCCTTAGGATGGGCACTGCAAGTGTGCAGAACTGGGAACTTGGTGTAGGAAAGACAGGAGCCCCTCATAATGGGTATAGCAGGTGTACAGACCTGGGAACTCAGTGCCGGTATCATGGGAGCCCCTCATAATGAGCATGGCAGGAGTACAGACCTCGGAACTTGGTGTAGGAATGACAGGAGTCTATCACAATGGGCATGGGAGGTGTACAGAGCAAATAAATAATTGCAGAGATGATGAGCCCCTCATAATGGGCATAGCAGGTGTACAGACCCATGAACTCTGTGTAGGGAGGGTGGGAACCCCTCATAATGGGCAGAGTAGATGTGCAAACCTAGGAAATTAGAATATAGATGATGGGAGCCCCTCAAAATGGGCACAGGGGGTGTGCAGACATGGGAACTCAGTATATGGATAGGAGGCTTTCATAATAGGCATGGCAGGTGTGCAGACATGGGAACTCAGTGAAGGGATGAGGGGAGCCCCTCATAATGGGCATGCCAGGTGTATAGACCCAGGAAATCAGGGCAGGGATGATGGGAGCCCCTCATAATGGACACAGGGGTTGTGCAGACATGGGAACTCAGTATATGGGTGATAGGAGGCCTTCATAATGGGCATGGCAAGTGTGCACACCTGGGAACTCAGTGTAGGGATGATGAGAGCCCCTCATAATGGGCACAGGAAGTGTGCAGACCCCAGGACCTCAGCAT